ATCCTTTCCTTCTTTTTAAATAAAATATTGGTATGCTAATGATATCACCAGTGTCCATGAATGCTTGAAACAGTCTTTACGAAGCTTGGTAAGTATATCATGACACCTGAGCCCATCTGATCGACGTACTTCATAAATCCCTTTCATTAGTCCGTGTGACTGTATGTGTATCTCCTATCGTTGCTAGGCAACGGTAACGTTACTTTGGTAACGAAAACATATGCAGCAATAGAGGAATTGTTGGACGCGTCGTTTTGTATGCGGTACATGTATCAAAGGAAACTGGGTTATCAGTTCTTCCCAAGAAATCTGTGTTGAGATGTTTCCTATTTACAACACCTTTTATAATTACACCATCGTCACTGTAATGCAGAACTCCATGAAGAAAGAATGGGGTAATTTAACGTGTTTCACAGGTTGTAGTTCACAGGTCATTGCAAGATTCGTAAGTTTATGAATAACAGGGTTACGTATTGCACTGAGGAGGAAGTACAATATAGCAAGAAGAGGTCAAGATGCTATCGTAATATTTACATGGAGGAACTGAGGAAACCCAAGTGAAACAGTCAGGATAACTGGTGTCTGAAGCGACAAAAAACTCGACGTTTCATGCAAGTTTTTAAAATAGAGCAGCCACCTTTTTTGAAAAAGGCAAATTTGTTCCTGTGCTTAATGAATGCCATGAAGGCGTGTGAGGGTGTGGAGGTATAGTTCCATTGGAAACTCAGTGATTATCACAGGAAAGACATAGTTCCTTCTTATAATTAAGTCTGGCATCAGATTGTCTTAATGACACGAATAGTAGAAATAAGGTGATACAAAGATGAGCAATTACATTACTATCGTCTTCGTTCACACAAAAACAAACTCCGTGGCCTGTAGTCTGCAAATGAACTATACCGACCTAGCGACCTCTTCTTGTCGGAGAAGTTAGTGCCAACTTTGGCGGATAGAGGGTGTCGCGTGGTCAGCGCAACGAATCCCCACGGCCATTAATCTCAGTTTTCTAGGCCGGAGCCTCTATTTCCTTGAAATAGCTCCTCAATTATCCTCACAAGGCTGAATGGACCACGTTCCAGACCCACTACTTCTCATAAAATCTGGTAGGGCCGGGAATCGAACCCGGACATCTGGATCTGTAGCCATGAACTCTGACTACTAGACCACAGAGGCGGTCCTTCGTTCACACAATAGATGTAAACACGAACAAAACAAAAATATAGACTAGAAACTAACAACAATAACAATAAATTATTTCAGAAATTATGAACGGCATTTGTCAGTATACGTGAAAAACTTACTTTTCAGTGACCCGAAAGTTTAACAAAAAAAACTGGGAGATCTACGAAGACCACCTATCGAACCTTGCAATTTTAAAAATAATTTACGAAAAGTCGACTGTAGTAACAAAGGATTGCGAAATTCTGAACACCATTTATCCCAGGAATCAGACATGGACACCCAGTTCGCAATGAACTGACAGCTGTACGTGCAACTTTTTATCACTAAAAATAAAAATTTATTTATAGTGAGCAGTTGTAAAAAAGAGGATGCGAAATTCTGAATGGTACTTATCGCTACCAAGAACCGGTAACTAATATTACAACCTGATTCACGATGACCTGACAACTGCAACAAGGAATTTGAAATTGTGACAGCAACTTACACACTAGAAAGCTCTAAACACGTGAACAATTACTTCACAATGAACCCATAGCTGTAACGCGAGATTTGAGAATCTTAATGACATTTATCTTAACTCTCTCTCTCTCTATGGCTCTATAGTCCTTTGGATCTTGGATGCAATGCACTTATTGCGCTTGGGACCGAATTTCTTTTTTCCAGCGTCGTAGGAATCTCCCTCCTGCTCTCTTAGCCATGGAGAACAGTTCTTGACACTTCTGGACGTGATAAAGTTCATCGATGGTTAATCCTCTGTCAACGCGAATGTTTTCATCAATTGTTGTATGATTTCATCAGTGACAATGGATCGCCTTCCTCTCTTTTTTCATCGTGAACATCACTTCTTCTTCAAATTCACGACACCATTTTGCCACGTTTTGCCTGTTCATAACATCTTCGCTGCAAAACAGAAACAAGTTCGAGATGAATTTCAGCAGCAGTTTCTCCTTTCTCGTGAAGAAATCGAATTACTGTACGAACCTCACATTTGGTGGGATTTTGAATCGACACGGGCATTTTAAAATATACTGCGAACACAACTTTGCCGTGACTGCGACAGATGAACTCAGCCCTGTCATTTCTGAAAAAAGAAAAGAAGAAATCCCGTCCATTTTCACTGGACTTGTATCTTTACTTTCCGGATATCTCTCGTATCATAACTAACAATCTGAAAATCTAGTTCAAAATGAGCGTAAAGGGATTTGTGAAATTTGGAACGTCAGAGTTACTAATATCCCATAATCCTGCTTCATAATGAAACAACAGTTATTTGCGATATTCTGAAATCCACTAATAGGATATCTAATTGGCAATTAACCGACTGTCGCAGCAAGAGTTCCGAATTTCTGAACTCCACTTACCATAACTAACGGGCAGTCTCTGCACTAATGAAGCGGGCGCATTCAGTGTCTGTTAGTGCACCCGTGGTCTTCATCTGCCTGATGCACCATGTGAAGAAACAAGTGACATCGTGTGAAGCGCGCTTATCGAAACTCCGTTAAATCATTTTTGAACTGAAACGTCTTCGAGCGTCAAGAAAACCATAAACGGTAAACAAGTAAGGACTTGGATATGGGTAGTCATGGTACTGTCTGGTATTTGCTTGGAAAGACTATGGAAGGCCACGGAATATCAGTTAAGATAACATATATCTTAGGCGAGTTTCGAGCGGCAACCATACAGCCGGGTTTGCTGGAAGTGCACCCTTCTCTCACTCCTGTCAAAATAAACCCGGCCATTAATCTGTAGGCTTTGTCTTTAGTACCACGTTAGACTGGCACAGAATGCAACCTGTAGGGACTCCCACCTGCTCAATATGATGATAACTGTGATAATGTTACTCTCGCCACCAGTGGAAGTCACGATCGCCACCGTGCATACCACCGCTCTGCCCATGTGGCACCTTTGTTAACAATACTTCCACTGCTGAGGGTAGGCGCAGTACACCATTAGGACATACTGACTCATGGAGCTGAGCCCTTCTGGAGGAACCGCCAATTCTGCAGCTACTCAAGAATTTCCCAGCATTTTATGAACCCGAAAGTCCATTAGGACATAGACTGCATAAAAAGATGGAAATACATGTTTATGCAGTCTTAACCTCAACAGCGGCTTGAGAAACAGGCCAGCCTCACGCTTCGGCCGTTTTTCCACTGATAAAATTGCTCCCTGCACCAACTGAAAATGAGACTTGACGGACGCCAAAATTGGTCTGGATGTGATGATTGACTGAAGAAAAAACCACTCACCCAACCAACCACTGTCATGAAGGAGAGTCTCTGAGAAGCTGATAGTCTCTCATCTATGGAACCTGAAGGACCACTGCCGCATCCATAAGGGCCCACCTCTGATCCCCTGTCCACAAATTCCGCCCTGTTTACCCTGATTCAGTCAGTAACTGGACATGGTTTAACTGTACCATCTTAACCACAATGATGATGATGGTAACTATAGAGCCCATAAAGCGTCTGAATGACAGTGGTTACGCGGTCTAAAGCGAGAGGAGTTCCCATTTTTCTGAGTTGGATTCTCTATGTTAAAAATTCTGTGAAATGGGCCGATCCCCCATCCTAGGAGTCCTACCAAATATACGTATATTCATTCTTTCTCAAGTACTTTTGAATGAACTAACTCCACGGAGCAGAAACCTTCTTCAGAAGCGAACAGTTGCTCACCTAGTCAAGATATCCCCGGGCCTTTTATGGAAAATGAACATTATTGTTTTCATAAGAGCCCGCCCCTGGACTCTATTCTGAACAGGTTGAATTCAGTACAATTTCTCGTACAGTATTTATAATAATAATAAAAACAATAAAGGTAAAGTTCCCGTGATTTATTTAATCATTATTCCATGAAGACGTATGGAGGAGTGAAGGCCAACCTTCACCTTGGAACTGGATGCGGATAAATGGTCAGCTTCACGCCACGGCCGCTTTACTCCCGGGGAAAGAGGCCACGGTAACCATCGGATAGGAGGCTGGGTAGGCCCCAGAGCCTTTCTGGACATCATGGAGAAGAGAAGAAAAAATCTTATTCCTGCCGGGAATCGAACCCCGGCCGTCCAGCCCGTAAGCCGATCGCTGTACCAACTGAGCTATCCCGTCTCATAATAATAATATCAACAACAACGAATCAAATGTGGCAATTAGGCCTAGATATAACCCCTAGAGACTTCAAGAACGAACTACAGAATTTAAAACTGCAACACCTGTCACCATCAATACTGAAATCTGAGGTTTCGAATCCAGGCAGCAGGATTATGGCAAGGAGTCTTGTGCAGTAGCAGAGTTGCAGATGAGAGCTGGCTCACATAACTGTGATGACGTCAGTCCACTGCGCGGCAGTGATGATGATGATGATAGCTACAATATAGGTACTATCACGAGTGGTTGAGCTAACGTCGCCGCTGTTGCCGGCAACATCCGTCCCCTCCACAACCCCCCATTCTCTGTAGCAGCTGTCCCCATCCTCACAATTCTGCTACTTATTAACTCAAGAAGTAGGGGCTTTTTTAACTCTCGTACCTACTGAACAGGCTAAATAATTCGCTCCTGTAACAGAATCCCACTAGACCCTACCACGACTGACTGAATGCAATCTCTGATGCTCTGTTTCTCTATGGCTCATTATAATATCATGTCGCACCTGCAAACAGGTCTCCAAAACAGCCTACTGCACAGAAATTTACAGTAAAATTCGTTTTTATTTCTCATTTGCCAAAATGTCTGTTGATTTGATTTCTGTTAACAATCCTGTAATGAAAAGAACGGGCTTAAATACAAAACTGTCATGCTCATAAAGACGGTCATGATACTCACCGAGTGACTGGGATTCAGTTCATACTTGAGTCTAAGGAACTTCTTGAGGTGTGCAATTGTGACCAGGGCAGGACACTGCAGATACCTCTTGCTGACCGCTACCTGCTGACAAACAGAAATATTTCTTAATATTTGAACAACGATTTTCTTAAAGTAATGTCATTATTTGCATCAAAACAATGATGGTGGTCATACGGGTTAATGCATAAAGCGATAGCTCTCCAGAATGTGAGGCACGTCATACAGTCGTGAGAACGTCAAGGCCTATTGCCTACTGCCTATCGAGAAGAATCACAGACCTATCCGGATAACCCACGATGCCAGCACCACAGAGAAGTGTTCAAGCCTTACGTTGGAAGGAAAATCAAATAATTCCGTAAAAAACAAGGAAACCGTTGAATATGTAACATTAGCCAGCGAATGAAAAGCGAATAGGGCCCACCTGACACTGTAGGCTGCGTGACACACTTCTGACTAGGCTAAATTCCCTTTTTCCTTCCATAACTGATATGCAGTTTGTTGAATTTGATTTGGTTCTTCTTGGTCCGTCACACTACCAATTTTATAAAAGGTTATGAACTGCGTCCAGTGTGACTGATTTTTTTTTTCTTTTTAATCAACTTCGTTTAAAGAGAATCAATGTAAAGGACACGAACCAAATTGGTTCTAAATTTTAACAAAGTTTTTTAAACCACACTTGTAAGTAAACTGATTATAACTGTATTCATGCACATCGCTGTAGCTGTTAAAGGATCAGAGTTTATATTCATGGCATTGTGATTATACTGTCTGTATGTATTGATATTGACCAATCATATTGTAATAGTAGTTTCCGCATGTATTGATACAACGCATGTCCTTCTGAAGGTGGCCTCTAAGATTGAAATATGTGAAGGATGAGAGATTAAAAAGGAGAAAAAAAACAGTTATCAATCACACTGGACGGCGTTAAAAACCTTTTATAACGCATGTTGTTAGTAAATCGAACACACACATATGTAAATACATATATATACATCAGTTTTCGCATTGAAGGAGGATTTATGGATCCAAAAGCGCAGTGTCAATACAACTTAGACGAGGTGTCTTAACGAAATTCGGTGATAAAACTACTGACATATGGCAGAGGTGTCGTGAAGCTTTGTCACGTGGCCCCGTTACATACTAAAGATATTTTTTCTCGTACTGATAAAGGTAAAAGATAAATCTTCCCATGTAAGAGGCCGTGGAGACCCATAGGATTGTGAGTCGTCGAGGCTTCCACATTTTCTAGACAATTGGGTCACAGATGGTGATAAGGTTTTTAGCCTTATGCTCCGGCCGTCCTTTAGTCCCCAGGAAGATTCCTAGTACTCATTTCTGTTAAAGGCTGAGCGGATCGTAACTTTTTACAGACATGTAGTAAATTATAGGTCAATATTTAGTCTAATTTTCAGGAATATATTTTCATTATGCAACAAAAAGAGCTCGTTTAACGTTGCAACGAGAAGTAAAGAAACGTAGACTGCCAGGACAGTTAAAATTAATGCCATAGTTGATAGCACACCATCAGACTTCTTATATTCCTCTAACAAACTGTGTTATTTAATGAACTGTATCAACTGAGAAAATTCTAACTGATATCATGATCAAAATGGCAACAGCGGACTACATGAGCGTGCTTATTTATACAGAGGTGCACATGGCCAGTTTCGAGATGGTATTCTGCCATTAATTTAGAGATACTGAAGAAAATTAAGTAAAATTACAGTCGGTACAGTTGATAATCCGGCAGAGATTAGACAAGTTTAGACAATTAACTCCTGACCCACAAAGTAAAATTATAATTTTCTTTTTTGCGAAACCTATTCATGTGGGTTTCGCAGACCTCAATGGAGTCAAGACGGACCGGTAATAAAAGGAAAACAACCGTGTAGGATTTGAGGTTCTCACACCGGTGGTTATGAAGAGGTTGAGGTTATGAAGAATTCTATCTTCTAGGATGTAAAGCCGCGTAGTCCGTTGAGAGTCAAGCGAAATTTCGGAGGGACATATTGCCTTCATCTTCAGAGTCGGAGAATAAGCCTAGCTTTGTCACCTTCTTTCAAGGCGGTTTCTTGCTATACTTAGTCTTCGATCCCGTAGATGGTGGAGATATGTTTCTCCGAAACGTCGGTTGACTTTCAACGGACTACACGGCGTGACATCCCAGAAGAGAGAACTATTCAAAGAAAATAATCACACTGTTTTGTGTCGACTTTTTCCGGGCAACTCTCCCTACAAAATTAGGGGGTGAGGGTGGAGTGTAAGAGAAAAAGTTTACCTACCTCAGACGTACTGGAGTCGCTAACAGAACTTCGGCTGGACATGCATCCCAAGTCCTCATGTTCCCTGAAACAACAGAAAATTTTAGAAACTATTTCTACGCAGAAACTAAAGGTAAAATTTTGCAATTTGGTTTAGGGACAGATCCGATCAATTAGGATCGTTCTATGGCCAGATTATCTTAAATCTCTAAATGCAAAGCCTTGAAAGAAAAGTTCTCTAGTTAAAAAAGAAAAAGATTGAATTATATACAAATTATTCGAGCAGACCGAATATGTATTACAGATGCAAGAGATACAAACATAACTTTATAAGTATTTAAAATTAATAGGATATATTGAAGTTAATCTATTTAATTGTAAGGTAAAGCTATCCCTGTAAGAGGCCATGAAGGCCCATAGGGTTGTGAGACGTCGAGGCTCCCACATTTCCTCCAGACAATCGACTTACATATGGTCGTGAGTTTGTCAGCCTTACGCGCCGGCCGCCGTTTACCCCACAGGAAGATTCCTGGCACCCATTTGTGTTAGAGGCTGAGTCGACCCCCTGGGCCATAGTGCAGCTGGTAAGGATTAGGTCAATTAAAGAAATTCAACTTATCGGTAATCGAACCCGCGACTTTCCGGCATGTAGCATAGTGCCTCAATCAACTAAGCTACCGCATAACCCCAATCTGTTTAAATGACAAAATTTAATTAGTAATGCATTGAAATATTCTCCAGCGAAAAGTGCGTTTCCAACATAAGTTATAAAATAGTGTCAGTCCTAATAAAATTAGTTAAGAAATGGAAAACAGCCTGCTCATGTTTCCATTGGAAATATCAACAACTTACTTAAACATCTGCAAGTACAGTAAATGCAAATAGACAGTGTCCTGGAAAAGTTGGGATCCCGAAGCTTGCGTCTTCTTCAAATTATTATTTTATTATTATTATTATTATTATTATTATGTAATACTGTTCAGCTGCTAATATTGTTTGTAGGGGCATTGATGTATCTGGAACAAAAACTGTCTCTTAAACATATCTTATAACTTATACTCTTAATTACTGACTGATAAAATATTCCTTTTCCGGTCACGGTAGCCGAGCGGTCTAAGGCATGTACTGTCTTCGCTTGCTTGGAAACCGGGATCGTGGGTTTGAATCCCACTNTACAAGTTACACACATATAATTTTACCTCTTCTTAGCGCTTCAAGGCTGTGAAGTGGCACCAAAGTCGTCACGGCCTAAATGCACATGTTGCCTAGATTTTGTCTTTGCTTGTTTTTACATGTTTATTCTCTTTGTCTTTTTGCTTGTGATACAATTAACTTTGGCCTCTGGGCTGCTGAACAGTTCAAATTGAATTATTATTATTATTATTATTATTATTATTATTATTATTATTACATCAGTAACCTGTAAGTAGTTAAATAATATTATAATTAGACTTTGTGAGCCATTCTACAGCTCAAGCGGTTAGGCACTAGCTGCTCACTGTGGGTCCCGGGTTCAGTCGTTTGTGACTTCATGTGAGATCCGTGGTGGATGAAATGGCACGGGAGCAGGGTGCTCGCCGAGCTTCTTATGTTTCCCCGCTAATCACCAGCCCTACACTCTTCGAGCGATAGACATTATACCTAATCCTACTTATCGTGTCACAAGCACTTCGCTCTTCGTTCATACAAATGCTCCTTTCAGACACAGGCCTGCCATATTAAAATTAATGAAGAATGCCATGTTGCATGGTCATAAATTCTGTTGTTGACAAAGGCAATAAACAGTAGAGACATTAGTTGGTAGGAATGTGTAACAGGTCTCTCTCTGGAGGAAGAATATAAATTACTAGATGTAAGATTTGAGGTCTTTACGGCGGTGACTATGAAGAATGTCTAGTGGTCAGAATTCCTGCCTACAGATCCAGAGATCCAGGTTTCGATTTCCGGGGCTACCAGTTTTCTAAGAAATACTGGGTCTGGAACGTGGCCCACTCAGCCTCGTGTGGATAACTGAGGAGCTATTTCAAGGAAATAGCAGCTGCGGTCTAGAAAAACGAGATTAACGGCCATGGGGACCCGTTGCGCTGACCATGTGACACCTTCTATCTTCTAAAGTTGGCACTAACTTCGCCGAAAAGCGGCGGTCACTCGGTCGGTATAGTTCGCTTGCGGACGACAGGCCACGGAGTTTGTTTTTTGACAATGAATAATGCCGTCTTCTTGGATTTGGCGCATTGTAGATCGTGTGTGAACCGACGCTTCGGAGGAACGTATCGCTTCCATCTTCAGGGTAGGAAAATCCGCGAGCGAATAACAGAGTAATACAGGAACCGTTCGAGATAGTGACCTCTCTTCCGTGCGCACCGAGTTCATGAGTCGTCATTCGTAGGAGTAGTGAGTGTCCAGCTGTGGAGTGTTAACCAGCGGAAAACGGAAGATGAAGACGTGAACGAGTGGTAAATCAGAACCAAGTCAGCCACGGCAGGAGGAGAAGACACTCGTAGTCCAGTAAGGAATGGAGCGAGTCTTAGGCAGCCATTGATTGTGAGCTGTTATAATTGGTTGTAATTGTAAAGAAGTGCCAGTAAATCCAATCATCCAGTGCAGAACCCGTTGTTATTAGTCAAGCAAACCCCTTATACGTGACAATATCGATATATGAAGAGCCTGTTTCCCTTCATCAGAGGTCACAGAGGTATTACAGAGGTCACATAGCGTCAGTACGACTGAAGTGAGAGGAAATGACGTATTGACACAACAGAGAGCACATCCGAGGCTACTCGGTGTCCGAGACTAGTTTCAAACGAATGACTTCCAGAAAGGGAATGTCCGTTCTCAAGGACCAGGAGAATGTAGCTCACATCTTGAGTACTACGCAACATGAATGCTAATCACTAACTTCAATCAGGATACCCAATCTCCGGGCCCAGATTTCATACCGACAGCGACCCCTAACTCATGGAGCTGAGCCCTTCTTGAGGAGCCGCCAGCTGTGCAGCTACTCAGGAGCTTCCAAGCATTTTATAGAACCCTAAGGTTTATTGTCGTGTTAACAAGAGCCCTCCATTGGTCCCTATCCTGAGCCAATCCATACCATCCCATCCTGTCTCTCTAATATTGTCCACCACCTACGCTTTGGTCTTCCCAGTGGTCTCCTTCCTTATGGCTTTCCCATCAATACCCTATATGCATTCCTCTCCTCCTCCATTCTTGCTACATACCCTGTCCACTTCGTCCTCCTTGACTTGTTCATTCTAATTATATTTGTAGAAGAGTACAAGTTATGAAGCTCCTCATTTTGCAGTTTGTATGCTAATAACCAGTTAAAAATAGCCATTTAAGGGCTTAAATTCGAAAAGGAGATCTCTCAGATACGAAGCATAAGTAGGTAAAACGGTATAGCTGGTCTGCGGGACCAAGGATCTAATCCTGGAGCTCCTGAGTAGGAAATTAGAACGCTGACCATTGTTCGGACTCACCTTCTAGATCCAATTTAGCTACAGTTCGAAGCAGCAGTATATATCAGACTGATAAGGAAATATCTTACTTACTTACTTACTTATGGAGCTGAGCCCTTCTTGAGGAGCCGCCAATTCTGCAGCTACTCAAGAATTTCCCAGCATTTTATGGAACCCGAAGGTTCATCACCATGTTCACAAGAGCCCTCCACTGGTCCCTATCCTGAGCCAGATCTATCCTCTCCATACCAACCAATCCTATCTCTCTAAGATCCATTCTAATATTGTCCACCACCTACGCCTTGGTCTTCCCTGTGGTCTCAGAGAAATTCGGACACGATAAAAACAAGGCAAGCAAACTTTGTGCTGAGTTTCGCCACACGACAAATTACAATCAATGTGACAGATGAAACGCAGAAAGCGTCAATCAATATAGTACATCTCATATTTCGCTGGGAAGTATTGACGAGAGAATAATGCAGCTAAAGTTCACTGCACTGGTGTCTTACATAAGGCAGCGATGTATTAAGCCCATTTCTCTACTTCAGACTGACCGAAATTTGAAACATAAAGAGTCAATGGTAAGAACACAAACAGATTTCCATGTACTTAGCCTATTCCCCTCCTACGAAGGAGCGACACGCTTATGGTTACTCACTAATCATTTTCAGACCTCTAGGCAGTAAACAAGTAAGAGAGAGAGAGTCAGTAAATAGGCCACAAATGGAAGTAAAACAGCTGTAATGGACGTCATAGGTTTTCTACTTGCATCACTAGGTAGCAGCACAATTCAGCTTCATGACAGTCTAAGTTCAGAGACTGGTTTTAGTAGTCAAAATGGCTCAGTACCTCAGTAAAAAAATTTACTGCAGGATGCACATCCTTCGAATTTACTTTCAATAAGACTAGCGCGCCAAGGACCGGGATAGCGAAGCCGGTAGTCCCGGGTGGGGCAAAACTTTCTCCTCTCCACGTCGTCCAGACTAGTTCCAGGGCCCACCTAACCTCCTACCCCATGGATGTCAGGAAATCTTTCACCGGCGGTAAAACGGCCGGGAACTGAAGCTGACCACTCACCTCCGAACAGTACCGACGCCAAGAATACGTGGATCTATACATCCACTCCCATATACATATTCGTGGCGTATTGCTTAATTAGCTAGGCACAGAGACAACTTCACCTTTCACTTTTAATACTTGTAAGGTAATGTATTTAATGTAGGAACCCATATTTTTTTTCGGGGGGGGGGGTAACAGATCTTTTAAAAATAGGCGTATGCTTCTATATATAACGCAGTTTATCTTAGAGACAACATGGCGACCACACGAAACGTATGTATAACTTTCCGTATGTTAGTGACAAATTAATCGTTGCAGTCTGATGTGTAGAGAGATCACTCCTACATATGATGTATGTAAAAACTGCAGAATTGGTGTCCGTGCCAAATTTTGAGGTTAAGTCTGGCAGCTCCTAAGTAATGAGACCCTACATAGCGGAAATTTCGAATAAACATGTAACTACAACTCCATACAGGTTACGTATGCAGAGTGTACATTTAAAAATCAAAAGGAAAGTAGCTGTTCTGAGTAGAATAGCTTCATAATACGAGGAAGCATCAGAAAGTAT